GCGCGCACCTTCAAGCTGGAGGCGGACACGCCCTGCAGGCAGTGAGCAGCGGTCACGATGATCTTGGAGCTGTAGATGGAACCACCGCAGGAGTGGCCGCCATTACGCTGCAGGGAGATTTGCCAGGGGAAGCTGCTGATGGAGGTGGGAGTGCCGCCAACAATGCGACCATCCAACTGGGGCAGGAGACCCTCAGGGATAGCAGCACCAAAGGCGCAGGCAACGACAGACAACAGAATCACGAACTTGAACATATTGCTCGTACAATGTCTTAATCGAATTGTGCTGGCGCTTATATAGGCAGTCGAGTGGCGTGCTATCTCTGGAGCTTGCTACTTATCTAAAACTATTGATTAAATTTACGCGAAAACAACAAAAGAAATGAATAGAAACAATCTCGATTCCCGCTATTGAGTGGAAAATGTCAAGATTGGACTGATCGGACCTGCTGCGTACGACACTTAACTCGGGCTGACGTATCATGTACATGTAGTCCGTTACGAAGAATGTTTGCTATATAAATCCTAGGTCTGTGTACGGCTAAAACCATTTAATCGAGATGTTGAAATTTGTAGCACTTCTTTGCTTGGCCGTTTGCGCCTTGGCAGGCACCGTGCCGGAGGGTCTGCTGCCCCAGCTGGATGGCCGCATTGTTGGTGGCTACGAGACCAGCATCGAAGATCATCCCTACCAGGTGTCGCTGCAGCGCAACGGTGCCCACTTCTGCGGTGGCTCCATCTACTCGCACGACATCGTGGTCACTGCCGCCCACTGCTTGCAGTCGATCTCAGCCGAGCAGCTGAAGGTGCGCGTGGGCAGCACCTACTGGCGATCCGGCGGCAGCGTGCACTCGGTGCGTGCTTTCAGAAACCACGAAGGCTACAACCCCAGGACTATGATCAACGACGTGGCTGTTATTCGCATGTCCTCGTCCATCAGCTACCGCTCGAGCGTTCGTGCGATTCGCATTGCCGACAGCAATCCTCGTAATGGCGCCGAGGCTGTTGTCTCTGGCTGGGGCACTACTCAGTCCGGTGGCTCCATTCCCGATCATCTGCTGGCCGTGAGGCTGAGGATTGTTGATCGTGAAGAGTGCGCCTCCAAGGAGTACAGCTACGGTAGGCAGATCAAGGACACCATGATCTGCGCCTACGCCGAGCACAAGGATGCCTGCCAGGGCGATTCCGGTGGCCCATTGGTCTCTGGTGATCGTCTGGTCGGTGTTGTTTCCTGGGGCCATGGCTGCGCTGATGTCAAGTACCCCGGTGTCTATGCTGATGTCGCACACTTCCACAGCTGGATCGAGAGGACCGCTGACGAGCTGTAAGCTAGCTCAACTAAGCATGAACTGTTCAAAGCCCCACAATAAATTGCGCTACAATCTGAGTTTGTCCTTCAATTGTCATTCCCAAGTGCTTGTAATCCCCCACTTACAGCTGATAACGCCTCGCCTGAGACCCTATAAAAATGCACAGAGAAGCGTTGTAACTCAACCATTTTGGAACTGCATTCGACATGTTCAAGCTCGTCATTTTGTTGTCGGTCGTCGCCTGCGCCTTTGGAGCTGCTATCCCTGAGGGTCTCCTGCCCCAGTTGGATGGACGCATCGTTGGCGGCTCTCCTACCTCCATCAGCAGTTTCCCTTGGCAGATCTCGCTGCAGCGTAATGGCGGCCACTCCTGCGGTGGTTCCATCTACAACTCCAGGATTATCGTGACCGCTGCTCACTGCCTGCAGGGCGTGTCCGCCTCCAGCTTGAAGGTGCGCGCGGGTTCCAGCTACTGGAACTCTGGTGGCTCTCTCATCCAGGTCGCTGCCTTCAGGAACCACGAGGGCTACAACCCCAACACCATGGTCAACGACATCGCTGTCATCCGCCTGAGCTCTGCTCTGTCCTTCAACTCCAACATCAAGGCTATCGGTCTGGCTACTTATAATCCTGCCAACGGCGCTGCTGCTTCCGTCTCTGGCTGGGGCACCCAGTCATCTGGATCCAACTCCATCCCCGCCCAGCTGCAGTACGTCAATGTGAAAATTGTCAGCCAGGCCAGTTGCGCCTCCAGTTCCTACAGCTATGGTAGCCAGATCAAGAACACCATGATCTGCGCAGCTGCCTCCGGCAAGGATGCCTGCCAGGGTGACTCTGGCGGCCCATTGGTTTCTGGTGGTGTCCTCGTCGGTGTTGTCTCCTGGGGTACTGGCTGTGCCTATAGCAACTATCCCGGTGTNTCTAAAAATGTTCAAATTAGGCTAAAAAAACAAAATCAATTTTTCGATTATTCTCGATAAAAAAGTTATCGGACGATTTATCGAAAAAATAAAGCAAACTCGTACTGCGTATGGTACTCACGAGTATGCATGCCAAATTTCAGCTCTCTAGCTCTTATAACTTCTGAGATCGACGCACTCATACGGACGGACGGACGGACGGACGGACGGACGGACGGACGGACGGACGGACGGACAGACGGACAGGGCTATATCGACTCAGCTCGTCGCGCTGATCAAGAATATATATACTTTGTGGGGTCTGCCACGCCTCCTTCTGCCCGTTACATACTTTTTCACAAAACCATTATACCCTGATTTCCCATTTTCAATGGGTTCAGGGTATAAAAAATGTTAGAGTTGCAAGTGACCATTCTCATAATACTCGATCACGCCTAAAACGTATTTTAGTTTCTGCACTGATCAATCAGTTTTTACCATATAATTCATAGGTGCGAACTAAGGTGCTTAAAATTTTCATCCGTTTGTGGGAATTCATTAGAGAAGAAATGAATGGGTAACATGGTTGTCAAAATCTAGCTGTAGAGCTATAATCGATACTGTATATCTCAATGGATTATTATATTATAATAATTATATTATGTTTGTCGATTTTTTACTCTACTGCCAGGAAAATCTATATAGACGTTATCAATAGGCGGATTGATATGATATTTTCTACAATAATTGAATTATGAAATGTGTGGAGCCTTCGTTGTATAACTGTATAAGACAGAAGCCTATCCTATTTGTACATATCCATTTTTTATCCGGGCTGTCTACTCAGTATATATATAACATTTAAGAAAATCTCATGTGCAGAGACCCTAATTGTCGTGTCAAAATATACTAAACTAATATACCTGTTTCATTTCGTGGAAGGGTATTTAAATAGTGTTGACAGCTTAGTTGGACACGCAGCTCAAGTGTTTAGTATGAGGTGCACAACTGATGATCTGAAATGAAAAGCAACTTCCTGTTTAACAGAAATGAGCTGCGAAGTCACAAGAAAGTACTTGGTTTGCAGATACCATCAAGCAGCGTCTAGTTATTTAAGAACAGACCTTTACAGATAGAAGTCAAGAAATACATGTTATAATTCTTGATTTTATTTACAATAATTTCACATGGCATAGGATTAAGCCTGCTTAATGTTGTTAAAAAGTAACGCTCGAGTGATAAAGTTATTTATTAGACCAAAATTATTTAATTTGATAAGTGGCTTTTTTAAATCAATATTTTGCAAAAACCAATTTCCCAAATTACGATGCCGCTTCAGATAATATTGGGTTGTGCGCATTACAGTTAATAGTTTATCAATTTAGAATAAGTTCAGTGTAGTGGAAATAGAGATATGAGATGTGTATACACAAATATTTTTCTGTGAAAATACCGTAGAAAGGCATTACACACTTTATTATAAAACATAAAAAATAGAGGCAACACTCAGTCTAAATGGGTGTGTAGGATATTTAAAAAATTCATGCGCGATAGACCATAGTAGATAATGGTAAATATGGCAATAAAGCCATAAAAAGCTTATTGGAGCTTATGCCCTGACAGTGCTCAGATTTCTCAAATAACAAATAAGACCCCAGTAATCGGGAGTGACCGACTAAGAATACCTTGTACCGTACAAATCATTGTACTTCTCTAACTCCAAATGATTTTCTAAAATTTTGTGAATAAGTGCTTAAGTTAGAAAAGGATGGGGCAAACTGCAGGCGTATCCCTATATTAAATTTGGCCTTGACTACTTATAGGGAGCATTCCTTCGATTTCTGTCTGTCACAAACATATTCAGAAAGTCGTTTTACCCTGAAATTCCATTTTGAGTGTGCATAGGGTGAAGAGTACCGAATGTTATTAGTTTCGAACGGTGTCTTTGACAGATAACGAACCTAGCCAAGGAAAGATAACCGTGCCCAGAATTAGGCGATATTCGCAAAACCCATTGATATTTGAATTGTGACTCTTCAAACCGAAATATTGGTTCCGTCCAAGCAGCTAGCTATACAACGCATGGCAATAATTTGGAGTGCAGCTATTGACGCAATCATTGACTAAGAGACACCTGGAATTTCAGTTTAAATTTCCCCTTCTTTTCTGTAAATGTTTGTATAGGGCGTAGTTCTTATCCACAATTATGATTAAGTATACTTTAAAAGTGATATTGTTTGCTTTTTTTTCATGAATTCAATATCATTTTTTTTTTTTTTTAATTTTCGAGTCTTTAAGAGGATTTAAAGCTACTTACGGAAATGAGATGCAAAATTTACATTAAAGGTCGTATTAAAAAAGAAAAGCTGTCAAGATTTTAATGTCTTAAGGTGATCTCTTTCTATCCCATCATCTCTACATTTTTCCGTTAGCCATACCTTCTTGTTTTACAACATGCCCCATTATTCTTATATAATATACACATATGTACTTATTCATCAGCATGCCCAATTACTGTATTCTAATAGAGTATTCCTGAGTTGATTTATGGATGATTTATTGGTTATCCCTTATGTGTATTTTCTTATTTATCAACATGCCCCACTACTCGCTTCAATAGTGTATTCCTGCGCTGATTTATATAAAGAATCGTATCTGTCCCTTGTCACGCTCTCTTTGGCCATTTCAAGAAGGGTATTAGAAGTCATGATAATGTCAGAAAGTTGAGACTTCCTTGACGAAACTAATCAAAAGGCTGTAAATCAGTCATAAAGATCCAAAAACACTCTAATATAAATATTAGGCCTTGTATCTATCAGTATTTAGTTTACGGACAGCATGCAGCGCAGTGTCGGACTTTTGCTGTGCCTGGTGGTTGGGTCCGCTGTGGCAGGCACCGTTAATCTCGCTCCCGATCGCTTCGAGCGGGAAGGTCGCATTGTGGGAGGCGAGGATACAACGATTGAGGCACATCCCTATCAGGCCTCACTGCAAAAGAAGAGCGGCTCCCACTTCTGCGGAGGCAGCATAATCGGCCCCAGCCTGGTTGTTACGGCGGCTCACTGCCTGCAGGGCATCAAGGCGTCCAGCATTCGTGTACGTCTCGGCTCAACGCGCTATAACGAAGGCGGGGTTCTCGTTGCCGTCGAGAGTCTGGTATACAATGAGCAGTACGACAGCCAGACCCTGGAAAACGATGTAGGCCTGCTGAAGCTAGCGGAGAGCGTGGCCGAATCAGAGAGCATTCGCTACATAGATCTGGCCAAGGTCACTCCGCCAACTGGTACTGCGGCCGTGGTCACGGGCTGGGGATCCAAATGCTACTTCTGGTGCATGTCGCTGCCAAAGATTCTCCAAGCGGTCGTCGTCTCCATTGTGGATTGGCAGCAGTGCGGCTCCGATGCGTACAAATACGGCGACATTATTCGGGACACCATGGTTTGTGGCTATGAGAAGAATAAGGATGCCTGCCAGGGCGACTCCGGCGGCCCGCTGGTGGCCAACAATCAGCTGGTGGGCATTGTCTCATGGGGCTATGGCTGCGCCTCCAAGCTATTGCCCGGTGTCTACGCCGACGTGGCTGCCCTGCGTAGCTGGATACTGGAGAAAGCCAAGACGTTGTAGGCCGAAGTCTGAATAATATAATGCATGATATATGTATATATACACATAATATATATATGATTATTTATTTATTTTTTCTAAATTTATGTTTGATTTTAAATGTTTGTACGTAAGCGATAAACTGGGGTTTTAATAAAATAATCGATATTGATAAAGAAATGTTGGATGATTACCTAAAGTGAAGACAAGAACCTTTATAGCAAGTGCTTTTATAGCAAATGCTCTCTTGAATTAGCTGAACATTTGAAGCTTTTTGCAGGTTAAAGCTTTAATTGTTTGCTTTTTGATGACTTCGTCGGAGTGGAATATACGCTCTCGTCTTATTTCGTATTTAAAAATCTGTCTCTACCTGCGGTCTTTGGTCTTACGTTATGCTTAACGCGACACTAGATCATACAAGTCATATGAAGATATGGGTGCTTATTTCGGTTGACCTGGGTCAGTCTAAGGATCTCGGGCTTATGACTATGGTTAACTGAAATAAATAGTATTTACTTTTTTATAAATCCTTTTTGTCTGCGATTTATGTAACACAATGAAGATTTCCTGGATAGCTTTAAATCATTTAACAATATTTGCATATATTTGTATAATGGTTATGATGCAAACGGTATCAATATTAGGATACATAAGGCAGATTCTTAAATGGTTGATAAATGTCAAGTTTGACCATTTATATTCTCGAATGTTTTTCACATATACATACATATACATAGATAAATAGTTTCGGAGTCGGCGTATTGCAAATACAAACTTTGCCATGACTCAGATTAGACTAATACCCGCTACTGTGAACTTTCCCTGTGTATTATCGTGGGCCTTATCACGCCCAATATTGGACAATTTATTGGTCGGCTAAAGAGCCCCGCTGATAGTGACTAAGCAGGCTCGGCCAAATGGCGCTGTTAGTCTTTGGCCAAACATTGAAATGAACAACGCATTGCTCGCAATCGTAGCGCTGTCGGTAGTCTGCGGCATTGGTAGCTGCCTTGAGCATCCTCAGGGACGCATTGTCGGTGGCGAAATCGTCTCTGCGCACTTTGTGCCCTACCAGGTGTCGCTGCGTAGACGGAATGGCATTAGGAGCGCCTACGCCCATAGCTGTGGCGGCGCCGTCTTGGACGAGCGCACCATCCTCACAGCAGCTCACTGCGTGTACAACCGGCTGGAGCAGAACTTCCTGGTAGTGGCTGGCTCGGACGTGCGTACCGGCATGGACGGCGGCATTGTGACACGCGTGGAGAAGCTGGTGCCACATGAGCTATACAATGCCTCCATCACGGACAACGATATCGCCCTGGTTTTTGTGTCGCCTCCGCTGCCCTTGGGCCAGCGCAAGATCGCCGCCATCGGTCTCGCCGAGGAGGTGCCCGCCGTGGGCACGGTGGGCAGTGTTTCCGGCTGGGGTTTGACCAAAGAGGATGGTTTCGGCTCCCCCCAGCTGCAGCAGGTGCAGATACCCCTGGTGGACAGCACCGTCTGCCAAGCTGCCTACAACTGGCGGCCCATAACGGAGGGCATGCTCTGTGCTGCGGCTCCCGGCGGCGGCAAGGATGCCTGCGAAGGGGACGCCGGCGGACCTCTGGTCGTGGCTGACAAGATCGTGGGAATTGTGTCATGGGGCGAGGGCTGCGCCCGACCCGAGTACCCGAGTGTGTACGCCTCGGTGCCATATTTCCGCGCATGGATTGCCGAGCAGCGGGCGAAACACGCCTGATTGCCCGCTGATTAGTCGGTGGCTCCATAAAAGAAGCCTTTAGCCTTATCGCACTAGTGTATGACCATTTAAATGCATCCATTAAACTTTTATTATTTCCATTTAATCTTTGATGACCAACGATCGATAAGAGGTTTTACGATCCGTCGGCTTGGGCCCTCTGGGGTTTTTGGTCTTTCAGTCTTTCGGCTATTGTTTAAGATGGCGCACGTGGTACCTTTGCTGCTCGGCCTTTGCCTGGCCCTTGTCTCCTTGGCTGGAGCACTCCCCTTGCAGGACTCCGACTCGGGCTCACCCAACGGCCGCATTGTGGGCGGCTATGAGACGAACATTGCGGTCTATCCGCATCAGATCTCACTGCGACGCAAAGGAATCACAACTCCCAAGAATGCCTTTACGCACAACTGCGGGGGCTCCATCCTCACCAAGGACACCGTCATCACGGCCGCACACTGTATTATTGCCACGGTGGCCTCTCAGTACAAGGTCGTGGCAGGCACCAGCCGCAGGAATGGCAGCGACGGCATCATCGTCTCCGTCGACGAAATTGTCATGCACGAGAACTACAATCCCGACAACTACGACAACGACATTGCTCTGCTCAGGCTGAGCTCGCCGCTGCCCTTGAACAACTTTACCATGAGAGCAATCGAGCTGCCAACAGAGCCAGCGAGCGATGGAGCCATTAGCACTGTCAGCGGCTGGGGCACCACCCAGTCCGGCGGCACGGCATCGGATCAGCTACGAGCTGTCGATGTTCCCATCGTTAGCAACGAGGTCTGTGACGAGGATTACGGAGGCGGACGCATCACGGCGGGCATGCTGTGCGCAGGTGTGCGCGGCCAGGGTGGCAAGGATGCCTGCCAGGGTGACTCTGGGGGTCCGCTGATCGTTAAGAATAAGCTGCAAGGCATCGTCTCCTGGGGCAGATTGTGCGCTCTGCCCACGCATCCGGGCGTTTACACCAATGTCTTCCACTATCTCGACTGGATTAAGTCCAAGGTGCAGTTGGCCTAAAAATATTCCAGCAGTTGGCCGAAGGGCCCCACGAATGCTTCATTTGTGTCACATGTCTGAATAAATTTGTAATTGGCGACCAATTGGTTTGATTTATACTTCTTCTGCTTAATCAGCTCCGATCGGGGCAATAATCCAATCTCGGTAGTCTCGGCTGTAACACTTTGGCAGAAGTCTTATCTAGATTATGTGTGCGGCCTCATAAAGTTACTAAACCTTGAAAAACCCAAAATGCTATTGCACTAAGTATGTTAACATTTTCATGGAACATGATCATCATCACCATCATCAGCGTCATAATCATCATCATCAACAGCAGCCTCAAAGTATGCAATCAGAAAATGCCTTCGAAAGGATATTGGAGAAATAAATAATCAAAGTTAATAATAAATAAGTACAAAAATATCAATTATCATAAATATCAAATTTAAAAAAAAAATATTAAAATTTAAAAAAGTATTACACTAGAAAATAATAAGATTATATTCGATAAGATTTTGAAGAAAGTTAATCAAAATGTGAAAAACTAGATTCAAAATTAATAAAATAAATATTCTTTAATAATATAACAGATAATACGAAATAATACAAAACAAAGTATATTGACACAAAGGATATTCACATGTGTAAAATTAAAACAAAAGTACTCCAGTCGAGACTGCTCGCTTGGATATACTCTGAACTCTGCAAAGAACAGTGCTACTGCGCTAGGGCTGCGCTGCAGTGTGGGCTATACTATGAGAATTTATTTGTTGAATAATTTATCCTGTTGTCGGACTATCTTCATGTAACTTTCTATAAGTGATCATAATGTGCAAATGTGTGTATATTCTAAAGCACTTCTCTAGCAGTTGAAATACGCTTTTTACAAATTGGTCGCGAAGAGGGCGAAGTATCCAAAATCTGTAAATTACAAAATCTTCGTATTCATCAAATGTATGTACACAGTAAATCTGAAGTCTATAGGTCAGAAAGTGTTCAAATTAGGCTGCAAAAACTAAATCAATTTTCGATTATTCTCGATAAAAAAGTTATTGGATGAGTTATCGAAAAAATATGATAAACTTGTACTGCGTACGGTATACACGAGTATGCATGCCAAGTTTCAGCTTTCTAACTCTTATAAATCTTAAAATCGACGCATTCACACGGACGGACGGACAGACAGACAGACGGACAGACGGGCTCTATCGACTCAGCTTGTCGTCCTGATCAAGAATATATATACTTTATGGGGTCTGCGATGATTCCTTCTGCCTGTTACATACTTTTCACAAAACCATTATACTCCGATTTCCCATTCTCAATGGGTTCCGGGTATAAAAGAATACCGGATGTGAAATAATTATTAATAAGCCCCCAAATTGATGGTTTCCTAGGATCCTGGATTTGAAATATATATATATTTATATTACAAAATATGTTTAAGAATTGATGAATTATTAAGAAAATGTCAAAGTTAATTGAAAAATCTTTAAAAAGTTTTTTCCGGAAAATTTAAAAAATATACAGAATAATTTAAAAACACGATTTGAAATACATAATATATACTAAATATATATGAAAATATCTATAATAATATATTCATATTGCATACAAAATAAATCAATATCCCTGCTTTAAGGACGCTTGGGATACAATTATTGTGGATACGCCAAAACTGAACCATACTAATAATGAAAATCGAACAGGCAATCAATTAATCAGTTTTGGAAACTTATCGTTGAACATATGTGTGTATAAAGCATATCATATCACATACCCCCATTAGCTTGCTGCAATTGGCATTGCGGAGCTTTGCTATCAGGTCGGACCCTGTACACGGCCTATCAGAAGTGGCTCAAATAAAGCTAATCTGCCCGAAAATTCCAAAGCACATATAATTGGTAATCAGTTCAATATTTGCCAATCGCGCGACAAGATGCAGCAAAGTGGAGAGACTTCACATGTTATACGGCTTGGCTTGATGCTGCTTTTCACCTGGGCCGGCATTGCTTTGGGCTCTGAGCTGCCACCCCAGGGACGTATAATCAATGGCTCCAAGGTGGACATCGCCCGTCATCCGTATTGCGTTTCGATACGTTATCGGCGCAGCAATGAATCCGCTTACTACCACGAATGTGCGGGAGTCATCTACACGGATCGAGCAATTGTGACTGCGGCTCAGTGCTTGCAAAATGTGGAGATGGGCACAAGACTGTGGGTAGTTGCTGGTGCCAATACGCGAAATGGCACCGATGGACTAGTTTATCCCGTCGCAAAATGGGTATTCCACCCAGAGTTTAGCCCAATTACAGCGGACTACGACATTGGGCTGATCCTGCTGGATACGCCTCTCGACCTGAGCAACTATCGCATTAGGAAGATTGCGCTGCGTGCCGAGCGACCAGCAGCGGGACGAACTGCTACTGTCGCTGGCTGGGGCTATCGCGAGGAATGGGGTCCTTCTAGCTATAATCTGGAGCAGGTACACGTGCCTATCGTTAGCTCTGAGCAATGCAACGATATTTATGGCAAGGGTGAGGTGACTGAGCGCATGATCTGCGCTGGCGATGTGCTTCTAGGTGGACGCGACGCTTGCCAAGGCGACACCGGTGGTCCACTTATTGTAGACGAGCAGCTAGTGGGCCTCGTATCATGGGGTCGCGGCTGTGGGCGTCCTGGCTATCCCTCAGTTTACACCTATGTCCCAAGCCTGAAGCCCTGGATCGATGAAATGATCGAGCTCGCCGGAGGGCTATAAACCGATGTACTGATATGCGCTATAAAAATGCTGATCAATACGATACTTATATGACTTTCCATTGCCAGTTAACTGCTTAGTCAATAATAAAACTATTAGTTTAGTACATAGTAAATTAATTAGCGACGTGCAGAGCACAAGATTACAAAGGTTTCTATTGAAAGCTTGCTAATCTACCCGGGGCTTGCATGGATATTCGAAGACGAAGCAGAGTGTTTGCTCTACGAGTTTTAGTTCAGCTAAATCAGAGTTCAGAGTTCGTAAAAATTTATTCATGGCTCACTGTATGCATTGGCTTTATCATAAATAAGATACTGATTAGGTACTTCATGATTTAGTACACAATATAGCCTAATATCTATAATATAATTTTTAAAAGCAATATTTATAAATGTAAATATTTATGGGACCTACGGCTAAATAAATACAAGTAAGAAGGCTCCAGTCGAGACTGCTCGACTAGGAGACACCCTGAACCCTCTAAGCTGATATTCTAATYATWCTGCACYYCTTYTRTGCACACATACATACACATGCATCCACACGCACGCATAAGCCTGCGCTCTGCTAACTGCGCAGTAAGCAGCGACTGCGCTTGGGCTGCGCTGCAGTGTGGGCAATATTATGAGAATTTATTTGTTAAATAATTTCTTTTGTAGACATACGATCTTAATGAAACTTTTAGAGCGTAATCATATGGTGAATATGTGTGTATATTCCAAAGCCCAAGTCTCTAGTATTTGAAATACGCTTTTTACAAAAGTGAGGGTGAGGGGGTGAATTTAAGGGTGGGGGGTAAATTTTAACAAAAACCGAAATTGTATAAATTGCATATAAGCATACATTAAAAATTTGGAGACTCTAGCAATANAAATGCGTTTTTTACAAATTGGGGGAGAAGGGGGCGTGGTATCCTAAATCTGTAAATTACAAAATCTTTGTATCGAGTAACTTTATATACAACACAAATTTGAAGACTCCAGGTCTAAAAATGTTCAAATTAGGCTAAAAAACAAAATAAAATTTTCGATTATTCTCTATAAAAAAGTTATCGGAAGATTTATCGAAAAAATAAAGCAAACTCGTACTGCGTATGGTACACACGAGTATGCATGCCAAATTTCAGCTCTCCAGCTCTTATAACTTCTGAGATCGACGCACTCATACGGACGGACGGACGGACGGACGGACGGACGGACGGACAGACGGACATGGCTATATCGACTCAGCTCGTCACGCTGATCAAGAATATATATACTTTATGGGGTCTGCGATGATTCCTTCTGCCCGTTACATACTTTTTGACAAAACCATTATACCCTGATTTCCCATTTTCAATGGGTCAGGGTATAATAAACAAATCTTGGTTAAAATTAAGCAGTAACCATAAAATATATATGTGTATGCAATATACCATTTTAGATCTACTTTCAGCTCTCTGTCTTCAACTAGTAAAAAACAAACTATAAAATGTGTATTCTTACGGTACCTTGAAATTTAAATTTGTCGATCAAGCTAACTATTTCTTTCCCTATGAAAATATGACAAAATTATTAAGTTTTTTTCCATGGCTCTACAAAAATAAAACAATTTGCTGGTTTTGCAAATACTACTTACTTCATTTTAAGGGCAATTATCAATTAAATAATAATTTGTAAGTTACTTGATTAGAATACATAACAATACTTAGTTCACATACTTTCCTACTTTAAAAAGCTAACTGCTATAAAATGCTGATAATTCGAGCAAATGGTTAGACAATCGATAGTTTGAACGATTTTTCTTCAAATTCGATTGCGTTATCCGTTATTTATGCTAAGCCTACACAATAATAGATTAAGCTGGTTTAGTGTGTTTATTATCTTTCAGATTATGGAAGATTTGACAACTCATAGAAATTCAATGCGACCCACGTTAGCCTTGGACGCACGAGTATCGATTATCCATTGGCGCAAATCGGGTACGGCCGCATAAACTCCTGGGTATTTTTCGCGTGCGCAACCCGAGCCCCACGAGACAATGCCCAACAGCTCATTATTGTAGATCAGCGGACCGCCAGAGTCGCCTTGGCAGGCATCTTTGCCGCCACCGTCGACGGCGGCGCAGAGCATGCGACTGGTCAGAGCGATGAAATAGGCGCTCTTACACTTGGCATTCTCCACCACATTCACTTCCACTTGCTGGAGCACGTTGGAGAGGGCGCCTCCTTCGGTAGTTGTGCCCCAGCCAGTTACGATGACAGGTGTTCCGTGCTCCGGGCGCTCACTGGCCAATTCGATTGGCTGCACCGCTTTATTGTACTCGAACTCACCATCCAGAACCAGAATAGCCGCATCGTAGTCCTGGTATAAGGACTTGTACTTCTCGTGAATGATGATCTCCCTCACCGGCAACTCCTGACCAGTTGGAAAGAAGGTTTCTGTGGTGCCAGCGATAATAGTCAAATTAGCCACACCCGACAACGTGTTCACACAGTGAGCGGCCGAGAGAATCATATTAGGGGCAATAATGGAGCCGCCGCATCGATGATTTCTGTTGTAGCGCATGGAGATCTGATGTGGATAGCTGGTTATGTCCGCATCGTGACCGCCAACAATACGCCCATCGGGCATGGGCACACCACTCTGGAACACGGTCCCCGCTACCGATAATCCCACAATGCAAAGCCCGATCAAGATGCGAAACATCTTTTCAATAAACTAAGGTGACATTTCTCGAGTTATGTACTTTTATAGGACAGTAATCTTTGGTATAATTACTTAATCAGCCAATTCCTAAGCTGATAATTCACAGGCGCTATAAATCTATTTTGTAAAGTTAAGGTTAGTTAGTTTGCCGCTTATCTTATCCATATTGATGGATCATGATGGTGCTACGGTCATTACTAATGCTGGCAAAGCTGATTGGTATGGACATTGACGGTCACATTTGAAACCTTAACAGTTGATATCGATAGCAAATGATCGAAATGGTATGAATAATAACTGTCAAAATTTTTGAATGAAATAAAATCACATTTAATGACTATAATAAATATGATAATAATAATAATTGTTATTGCTATGAACTAACTACCTTAAATTAAATAAAGTAATACTAATAACAAAATAATATTAATAATCAAAAAGTATAATATTAATT